AAAAAAAAAAAAAAGAAAAAAAATCACACGACTTGTATTATTGGTATGTATTCGTATATTGTATAGTAATTCGTTTTCATTCCCCTGTCGGTTTCTCAACGTGTATCTCGTATCGTTTGTCGTTTTTCTTTTCATTCATTTAGACGACACCGGATAGAGAGTTAGGATTTAGTTTAAGCGATCTTCAAAATGGCGGCGAACCTCTTCCACGAAGTCGTCGATTAACATGATGAACAATTAGAGATATTCCGTGTTTTCCATTGTGATTGCTTCGATATATATTACCATAGAACGTTATCATATTAATTATATATATTGCTGTCAATTAACGCTCGTAATTTAATTGAAAACTTGTTAAATTCTCTGCTCCCCTTGTGCGTTATAGTTTCTCCTTTAGGATTTCAATTCTTTTCAAGAGTATGAAATTTCGTTTTTAGCGAATGATATTGAATTGCTAGTAAAAGGGTGAAACCTTCGAAAGGAAAAATAGACTTTTAACTTACGAAGTATCTTTGAATTCTACCCTTCCTGGACTTTGTACGAGAGTTCAACCGCCAGAACAATGAAAGTAATTAAGGAACTTGGTTATTTGTTGCCATGTGGATTTTAGGTAAAAAAATCTTCAAACAAAATATTTGCTAAGTATAATATTATAATAATGTTTAGAATATATAACTTATTATATACATGTATGTATATATACATATATACGTATATGTATATATACATATATATATATATATATATATATATACATATATGTTATCGATGACGGCGACAACGGTGATGACTACGACGATGGCATTATTATTATTATTGATACTCGCATATTTTTCCATTTACGGTGAAAAACATTTATATGAGGGGGAAAAACGTTCTTGGCCTTGCCTTATATTTTCAATCGTTCCAATGCTAGTTTTCGCATAGGCATTTTATGGATTGTTACGGCCTCCTAAGAACAACGTTCCAACGTTCCAACGTTCCAACGTCGAAGTTTTACGATGATTTTATAATAAAGACTCTTTAATTAAGAGCTAGATTAAGAGATTAGAAGAAATTGCAAAATTGCGAAATTTATATTATATTGGCAGACTACAGATATTTATGCAATTATGTATGTGCAATTATTAGCCGTGCTGTAGAACTTAAGATTCAAAGTTTATTGTGAGTTCGTTTCTTGTTTAAAAGTTTCCTTGGAAAATCTATCCTCAAGAAGTTTATTTCTAAAAAGAACGGCTTTTCCAACGTGAATTGGGTTGGAACGTTGTTCCGATGGCGTTATTAAAATTCTCGAACGAAACTTAACGGATTGATTTGTCACGGGAGAACGAATATCGTTCCGAGTTATTTCCAGCTGGCGTGTTGGAACACCGCAGCTACTGCTACTGTCATCAGCGTTCGGTCATTATAGAGAAGGGGAAAAAGGGGGGGGGGGAAACGAGAAAAGAAGAGACATTGGAAGTAATTCTATCTGTTGCAAGATTTATCATACGTCGCATGAGAGAACTTCTTTCCGACAGAAATAAAAAAAAAATCGAAGTGTTATCGATGTTGTGCAATATTAAAAGTTTAACGTCACGCTGTTTCAAGTCAAGTTGTCACTGGATCAGTGTTTCTCAAAGGCGCACGGATCGAAGAAAACGAAGGAATTAAATCTGATAAAATAGTTGAACAAATCTATTCAGGCTAGATGCCAACGACAACATTATGGTCGCGTAAAAAAAAGTGATAATTGTTGCGTGCTTCTTCTTTCGAAGCAATAGTGGAACAGAACTCTCGTTCTTTGTGATTTTTGTCTTCGGCAGAGCGAAACGACGCGAAAGAACAATTGTAGCGACTAAGAGTGCCATACAGGGGATGTCTGCGTAATTTGTAACGTTGTTGAAAAAAATGTAACAACCGATAGCTACGAAACCACGAAACAAATCAGGTTGTGATAGCCTTGCGTTCTTTCGAGCGTTAGCCGCTGCTAGAGAATTTCGTCAATTAATAAAATTACGAGAACACTGCGTGAGGCGTGAGTTTCATCTTCCAAGCGTTGTCGAGAATCGTTTGACAGATATATTGTTGTACATGATGATCGTGTTTGAGAATGTTGGGAGTCCTGTTACTTGCGTCCACTTGCAAACGATAGCAATATAAGTATCCTCCTCCTGGAACGAGAGACATATCGCCCAATGTTATCCTTTTTTTGCAGTTTGAGAAACACTGCGCTGGTACGTACGTTATATAAAAGAGTATTCACGAGAGGGAAACTGATTCTCGTTGCGTGATAATTATTGTTGCCCTCGCGGACCTGTAACAGCAATCTCTGTCAACTCGGGGAATTATAATACGATCGACGATCGTGGAGGAAAATAGGAGAACGAGATGAAACGATCTATGAATAATTAAAAGGGGGAAAAAAAAAAGAAAAAGAAAAAGAAAAAAAAAACAAATCGGTATCTTACTCTATAAATGTTGGCTATTGTTAAATGTTGAATATTGTTCTGCGGAGGGCTTGCCTCCTTTTCGAACGATAGAATGCTCGAAGTTTCAGATCTGCGATCGTCCATTTTGAAGAATTATTTTAATCCGCTATCGTCTATTTTAGAGGATTATTTTAGTCATTTCACGCGGATTGCGAATATTTATGCAGTTGTAAGTTACAGGGATTCCATAGGCGCAAAATTATGTAAAAGTGTTCAGGTGTAGCGGAACAAATCTTCACTTTGTTTCTCATTAGCTGTTTGCGTGGATATCCGCAATCTAAATAATCATTGTTATTCCTTTTTTTACTTTTTTTTTTTTAATGGCGCCGAATAATGGCTTTTTATACGTACATATGTACGCGTATGTTTGCTAGATTATATTTCTTATAGAAATATGTTTGTATTATTGCGTAGGTGAGCTCAGGTTATTCTGAAAATTCGTAGCAAAAGTTGAGAGAGATTCAATTAGAGTTAGGA